CTTGCAGATCCTCTCCAGTTCTGTCAGGTTGGATGGTAAACGTTGGTGGACAGCCATTTTCAGGTCTCTCCAGAGATGCTCAATTGGGTTTAAGTCAGGGCTCTGGCTGGGCCATTCAAGAACAGCCACGGAGTTGTTGTGAAGCCACTCCTTCGTTATTTTAGCGGTGTGCTTAGGGTCATTGTCTTGTTGGAAGGTAAACCTTCGGCCCAGTCTGAGGTCCAGAGCACTCTGGAAAAGGTTTTCGTCCAGGATATCCCTGTACTTGGCCGCATTCATCTTTCCCTCGATTGCAACCAGTCGTCCTGTCCCTGCAGCTGAAAAACACCCCCACAGCATGATGCTGCCACCACCATGCTTGAGCAGTGCCTGGTTTTCTGCACACATACCGCTTAGAATTAAGGCCAAAAAGTTCTATCTTGGTCTCATCAGACCAGAGGATCTTATTTATCACCATCTTGGAGTCCTTCAGGTGTTTTTTAACAAACTCCATGCAGGCTTTCATGTGTCTTGCACTGAGGAGAGGCTTCCGTCGGGCCGCTCTGCCATAAAGCCCCGACTGGTGGATTGCTGCAGTGATGGTTGACTTACTACAACTTTCTCCCATCTCCCGACTGCATCTCTGGAGCTCAGCCACAGTGACCTTTGGGTTCTTCTTTACCTCTCTCACCAAGGCTCTTCTCCCCCGATAGCTCAGTTTGGCCGGACGGCCAGCTCTAGGAAGGGTTCTGGTCGTCCCAAACGTCTTCCATTTGAGGATTATGGAGGCCACTGTGCTCTTAGGAACCTTAATTGCAGCAGAAATTTTTTTGTAACCTTGGCCAGATCTGTGCCTTGCCACAATTCTGTCTCTGAGCTCTTCAGGCAGTTCCTTTGACCTCATGATTCTCATTTGCTCTGACATGCACTGTGAGCTGTAAGGTCTTATATAGACAGGTGTGTGGCTTTCCTAATCAAATCCAATCAGTATAATCAAACACAGCTGGACTCAAATGAAGGTGTAGAACCATCTCAAGGATGATCAGAAGAAATAGACAGCACCTGAGTTAAATATGAGTGTCACGGCAAAGGGTCTGAATACTTATGACCATGTGATATTTCAGTTTTTCTTTTTTAATAAATTTGCAAAAATTTCTACATTTCTGTTTTTTTCTGTCAAGATGGGGTGCTGAGTGTACATTACTGAGAAATAAAATGAACTTTTTTGATTTTTGGAAAATGGCTGCAATGAAACGAAGAGTGAAAAATTTAAAGGGGTCTGAATACTTTCCGTACCCACTGTATGGGCAAGAAGCAGGATACACCATGAACAAGTCACTATGCTACACTACACACACACACCTACTGTATTCTGTATGTTATGTACTGTGGGAGGAAACTGGAGCAAATGTTCTGTCAATTGTAGGAATGAAAATACATTTTAAATTACTCAAAAGGAAAATTCTTGGTCATTCTTCATAACTACATTCATTTTGTTATTGTGTTATCAAACCCCATTAATTACATTGCATTAAATGGGTAATTGCTATATTTTTAATGTGGTGAAAACTAAAATGATTGGTTTGCTGTTTTTACAAAATTATATTTCTTTAACTGTCAAAGTGCAAAGCATATTTTCACCAAGAAGTCATGGTCTAAAGATGATCACCAGAAACTTATCCGATCTGGAGAAATCCAATACCATGACATATATATACCATGATATAGAGGGGAGGGTGACACTGTGTAGCAGCGGAAGAGATGCAACAATGCATAATTGTTTCCCTTGGTCCAGACCAAATAACTACAGGTGTGAAAGCAGCTTGCAGCCTGTCTGCTGGGCCCACTAGAAGTCCTAAACCCCTCAGCTCAAGTGGATTTTCACTCCTTTCTCATCCCACTGCCACAAAGATTCTCCTGTCCCATCACAATCCCATGATATGAGTATAAAAAATCATGCCCTGCTCTTGGTGGGAATTTTTGGGCTTCTGTAAATAGCATCATAGAGTACGGTCTAGACCTGCTCTTTTATTAAAAGCACTGTGAGATAACTGTTGTTGTTATTTGGCGCTATATAAATAAAATTGAATTGAATTGAATTGAATTAACTGCCCACCCTTCCCACCCCTGACACAGCCAACAGACTCGCTATTAGAGTGTTGCATTATAAACATCTAAAACCCGAAGCACTTTTGGCTCTGTTTGGGGATGTGAGCGGCACTTGATTGGAGCTGCAGAAGTTAACATGTGGATTTGTGCTGAGATATCTGCCTGATCACAAGTGTTGGTTTCGGTTTATACCTCTGATGAAGTGCAGTGCCCTTGTCTCATTCAGTACAGTTTGAAGGGGAGCACAGCGGAGTATAGGTCAGGGAACTTTTAAAAAATAAATAATAATAATAAAAAATTCTGGACATGTCAGAGAACACAGATGTGGGAGAGATTATGAATTTGCAGAAAGTTTTGAACATGAGCAGAAAACCTGCTGAAACAGGAGTCATAGAGTTTTTCTAACTGAATTAAAATTAAAACATTTATCATCGAGGTGAAAAGGTGCCCCAAACAGATAACTCTTCTGTCACTAACAACTATGGAGGATAATAACAAAGTAAAGAAACAACATTTTGATTTTGGGACGCTATACATTAACTTCAGGACAGTTCAAATTGTTTTTCAGGACTGTTCCGGAGGTGAAAAAATTTAATCTTGAGCACTGAGACTCCCATTCGCATATCAACAATAAACACAGTTAAACAGACAAAAAACAAAACAATTTAACTACGTAGCCTACTTAACCATGCTAGAACTACAAAAATCTAAAACTCTCTGCTGCTTCCCCCAGAAACTTACCTATGATTCCCATCCACTCCTATTGACTTATTTTCCTCCTGTCCCTCTCCTGTGATGAATAGGGACAGTTTGTTATTTATGGGTGTCTAATAATTTCTGAGCACTATGAGGTTGTCTTAAACTGTGAAGTCGCACTTATTATTTCTACAGGATATGAGCATTGATCTACTTGTGCCAGCTGGTCGCCTAATCTGTGGAACAATGGTCTGCCATATGACTTCTCTCAGCTCTACGTTGATTGGCCCACAGGCGACCAATGAGGAAAAAATCTGCTTGACCTGTCCATATGCAACCAATCAGAAAAATTTCTACTCACATCAGTCGGTATGGCTAAGGAGCTGAAGCTGACCTAACATGAGTAGAACCAGAGTAGAACCTCATGTCTGTCCGTCTATCTACATATACACACACACACACACACACACACACACACACATCCAAATATATATTCCTCTACGGCTGTTTATTATTGTGATTATTTATCACACTGAATGAATAATATCAAGTCACAGAATCAGTTTATGCCTTGAAAATATGCATTAAGGAAGTAAGTTTGAAAAATGTCACTGCTACTATACTCCTAGTATATTGGCTGATCTTCTGACAATACGGGCGTGATTCTGGTCATTTACTTCTCTATAACAGAAACATGTATTTCCATATGGTTTGTCTACCTTAGATGTGTCCTTTCGTACAGTCTATGGTAGTTTTCTGTGATATGTGTAAAGGGGACAGTTAACATGGAGCATGCCCTACTTCCATATGGAACTGAGACAGAATGAAGAACCATGTGCTAAAAAATGCTTGATAAAGATTATTTCCAATTCTCTGTTTTTCCGTGCTGGAGATGTATAATATACCTAGCAACTGATGCAGAAATTTACCTCAGTTTTTCACCTTGTTTAATACAGTATATTTTTTGTTAGGGACATTGTGTGTGTTAATAATTTGGATTATGAATGCTGTAACAACACACAAAATGTATGTGTCTCATCTCAATCGAAATTGGTTTGTCTGAAACTTTAAATTGGTCTGGCCAAAATAAGATCAAATTATATTCATATGAATGGGGGTCAGATGTTTTTGGCAACCACAATTTCATATGCAAAGCAGTGAACAGTTTGTTGACACATGTCTGGCTATTTACAAAACTAAAGTGTGGCACAGATTCAGCTATTCCTTTTTTCATTGACAATATGACAATCTGTGCAAAACCACACACACTTGTTGATATGTTAATCTAAGAATAGACATAGATCAAACATGCACATGCATGGTACTGCTTCTCAACCCTAATATGCAGAAGATGGAGAGCTGTGGAAATCCCTGCCTGCCCAAGACCCTACAGCCCCCAATGTCATGGGGTGAGTGAATGATTTTGTCTAGTGCCAATATGTTGGCGAATTGTGTATCACATAGTCTCTCTATTAAGTACTACTTATAATAAATACACAAAAGTTATTGGTATGTCAACTTTGGACTTTGTCTCTTAACATAATGGTCATTCTGCTAAGCATGAATGTAAAAAACACAACATTAAATTCACTAAGAAGAAGAATCCTTGCCTGAGTACAGTTGATTTTCAGTTCTGTCTCATAACAGGCAAGAATAATCCTAATGGATTGTGTTAGGCTATAGCAGCTACAATTTTATGTAGGCCCCTAATAGCCAAATGTACAGTCCTAGTTAATTAAAGGTAAAATTGTGATGTGTAGATTCTTCGAGTTTTCCATATGTATGATGTAACTGTATGTAAATAACATACTGAATTACATACTTTTGGCTTCGGATTTTTTTATTTTACCCGTAGTTGCCAGGGGAAGTGACGTCAGCAAGGAATGTCAGCTTTTACAGTGGACGAATATCTGACAGTGGAGTGAAACTGCGAAAGTTTATCAGCAATATCCGTCTCCATCCTTGTGTTTTTGGGCACTAATGGCCCCCAAAATACGGAGAACATAAACTACGCGATACACACTATCGGTTAATATCGATATTATAGGCTTTCGCTCCTCAGAAAAATTAAAAAGGGATGGTGAAATTTGTACCGAAGGAACTGGGAGTGTGATTTAGGGGTTGAAACCAGTAAAAGGAAGACTGGACTATTTAATGTAACGTAAACAAAAGGTTAATAGCTGAACATTTAGGATAAGCAACGTTAATTACTAAGGTAACGTTACCAACGCAGCAACAGAGGTAACGTTAGCTAATAGCGAAATGGAGCTGAGAGTGGGGAATCGATACAGACTGGGCAGAAAAATTGGAAGTGGATCTTTCGGGGACATCTATTTAGGTGAGTAAAGTGTGTTATCTTCAGCTTGCTCATACTAACAACATGTTATCCCGTTGTTCCCTGCCTGTTAACGTTAGCAACATTTTAAAACATTTGAGCCAAATAATAATTGTTTCATGTCATGTATGTATTAATCCAGTTTAACGTTACGTCAACAAGCTAGTTGTTACTTTTCCTTACCTCTGTATATCTAAGTTAATTATTGAAATCTACTAAAACATTTAAACAAGGCAATGTGAGTCGAGATACCCTGTTCCTGTGGCATTAAGGCATTATATAAAATGCAGAGAGCTAGCTTGTTTAACTGACATTGTGTAACGCTAAATAAAACCAGTGAAAACGTTAAAACTACTGCTGTCTTAGATTAATCTTTATACAGCGGTGTGATTATATTGTGAAAAGTTACTTAAGCAAAACAACACTGACATTAGGCAAATTAGACAGTGATGTACCTAACGTTATTGCTACAGGGTTCGAGTCAGCCTAGAGACCCCCCCACACACACACAACACAGGGCAGGCATCAACCAGCAAAGAGTTTGTTTTGTTAAGAACACAAAAGCATTTAATGGTTGTTATGAATGAATGAGTAACGTAAACTAGCTTGATCTTTAGCCAACGTTAAAGTTCTGAAGAAGATGGATAGGCAATTCTTCTCTGTCCTGAGACCTGATTAACAGACATGGTGAACCCGCTAACGTTACAACCAAGCCTACCACCCTTTTCAGTTTTCCAAGCTTGCTCTTTTCATTTCTATCAGCTGTTTGTTGTATGACATACATTCACTGTTGAGTAGTCATGTTAAAATGTTTCAACATCGGGCATGTTATTTCCAGTTTATGAAGGATTCAGCTAGCTCTCAAGTAAAATAGCCTTTGATATGCAGGTTTAGGAAACTACTCAGGAAATGGTTGTTTACAAGAGTCTGTTTAAACTTCCCATGTCATAACTTGATTGGTATTACATTGTCTCAGTTATTACATTATATGAGCAGACTGTGTCATTTTGCACAATTAAGTTAGATTCTACAATAAAGACAATTTTAAGTAAATGTTAGGGATGTTGCAACCAATAGAATGCAAATTAGGTGCGTGTTAGGGCACATTTATTGGGGTCTGTACCAAACCCAAATATTCTTGTTTAATGTTTTCTTAGGCCCCGTGTCCACTTTGGTGGACGGGGTGGTAGTGCTGAACAATGTGGAGAAAAAATCTAGGCTAATTATGATTTTTCGGCCAGATATTGCAAGTACGATTTTAATTTGTGATTTTTAAGTCTAGCTAAAGTTCCATATTCACTGCCAGACTATTTTTGACAGAAGCTGCGTCAAGCAGCACAGAGCCGTATAACCAGGCAGGAAGTCAGACACAGAATCCGGTTTTTCAAAATCAAACACCCTGTGCAGTCTCCCCACGGCTTGAGACTAAAGGCGTCCTGTTGTCCTGAGGACGATAGCAAATGTGTTTGGGACGAAGAGAAATATTCTGGTTGACGCCTCTGGGAAGAGAGGGATTGTGCGTGTATTTATTTATTACTATCACTTAGCAAATGATAAACTGAACCCTTCTCATGTTGTTACTACAGTAATGCTGGAATCACACAGGAGCCTGGCTGCTAACCTGTTCCCGCTGTACAAGTCCATCTATCCTCTCAGTCCAAACGGCTTGCTGACCTATTAATTGCGCTGTGAAGGCTAACGCGTTAAGCGCCACACACAAATCTTCTCACACAGTGAAAAACAAATCTATATTCTGATATCAACTAGCGGCGACAATCATCGAGTTTTGGTTTATACCTCTGATGAAGTGCAGTGCCCTTGTCTCATTCAGTACAGTTTGAAGGGGAGCACAGCGGAGTATAGGTCAGGTATACTTTTAAAAAATAAATAATAAAAAAGATTTCTGGACATGTCAGAGAACACAGATGTGGGAGAGATTCTGAATTTGCAGGAAGTTTTGAACGAGCAGAAAACCTGCTGAAACAGGAGTCATAGAGTTTTTCTAACTGAATTAAAACATTTATCATCAAGGTAAAAAGGTGCCCCAAACAGATAACTCTTAAGTTTTGTTTTTAAATCTTTTTGTTTGAATCAAGCAAAATAAATATTACTTATTTTATCAATTTATCATCATTTATTATGTCACTAACAACATTGTGATTTTGGCACGCTTTACATTAACTGCGGACAGAGGTGAAAAAAGTTAGTCTTGAGACTCCCGTTCGCATATCAACAATAAACACAGTTAAACTGACAAAAAAGAAACAGTTTAACTACATAGCCTACTTAACCATGCTAGAACTACAAAAATCAAAAACACTCTGCTGCTTCCCCCAGAAACTGTGTCAGACAGACACCGTTTTATTTCATTTGAGTGAATTTATGGGGTACAAGCATAAACACACATCACATCCTGCCTTTTCTGCATCAATTTATGGTCAAAATGTATTTATTTATATAAAGGGAAACTATATACTTAATGCCGTAAGGCCCTCAGGCACTCTGTAGCTATTTCTTTTAAATATGTAGATCAACTTTTCTCATTTTAATAAAATCCCTGCTCAGTCAAAACACATGATTTAGTCTCCCCTCCTCTTTAGTGTTTTCTGTTTGGGGAAATGTGCAGACCTGACACCTTTTCACCTCAATGATAAATTATTTAATTTTAATTCAATTATAAACTCCTGGAATTTAAAAGCTCCAGAATTTCAGTAGGTTTTCTATTCAAAACTTTCTGCACATTCAAAATCTCTCCCACATATTCATTTGTGTTCTCTGACATGTCGAGAAAATGGTCGTAATATTGCGAGACGTCATCATTTAATGAGAATTCATAATACCTGCCCTATACTCTGGCAATGAACTACTACACCTGTGATCAGAGAGAAATCACACCACAAATTCAAATAAATGTTACCTTCAGCACTTCTGTCAGAGTGCAGCTCACAGTCCGTTTGCACCTTATTTATTAAATTTTTATATTACGACCTACACTGGTGTTGCATCAGCTGGGCAGAGTTGATTCGGCTGAGTCGCCATAGGCGACCGCCTACGTTGCTGGCTTCCAATAAGGCTGGGCGTTATGGCCAATAATTTTATCATGACAAAAACATTTCATATCATTCTATATTGATAATTATCACAATGAATGTAAAATTATTTATTTTAAAGGCTTTTTCCTCCTGAGTGAAAGTTGCAGAAATCAGATGGTTTACTGTGGTTTTAAACTATTGACTATTCAGGGTCTCCAAAAAGGCTGAATACTCTATGCATAAACAACAGAGTGGCCCCTAACCTGGAACCACTTTTCCTTGGGAGACCCTACCAGGAGCACTAGGCTCCAGACAACACAGCCTCCAGGCTCACAGGGGCACACAAACCTCTCCACCACGATAAGGTGATGGTTCCCGGAGAGGGACCTGGCTGTTTTTAACGGTAGAAATGCGGCAGAGGATGCTTTAACGTTATATGGATCGGATATGCCCAACACTTGCAGTTTGTGTTCATCTGTCTTTTTCTTAAGTTGAAAGGTGATCCAAATAAAATTTGACTGCTTTTGCGGCGTCTCTACGGGGGAGTCGTGGCGTGAGCCGCTATGTTAGTCTGTTGTTTTGCCCTCCAGGTCATTGCGCATGTCACGTGACTGAAAACTATAAATACACCATTTGACCACTCAAGTCAGCGCCATGTATATTTATTAAGGCTGAACATTTTTTGTTTTTTGTTTTTTATCAATATTGCGATTTAATGGGAGCCATTTTTAAGCTTACCTTCTGTATTCAAAACGGTGACGTTTATAGTATGACCAACACAATATTAGATAGATTGAACATGCAGTTTTTTCTTGTGGGTCAGGCCTGTGTTATGATGAAATTAGGTGATGCATGAATTATTATGAGCAATGGTGTAGAAGAAGTATCAAATTTTAATATGAGAAAGATAATTTGAAAGTCAAGTCATGGCATTAAATAATATATCATCAGGTCGGCCTACCTACTGACGACAACAAAAACTAAGTGTATTATTCAATAATTGCTCCATATCAAACCCACAGTTCAACCACCTATTGAGTCCTTATCTCAGTTCAAATCTCCTAGGAGTCCATCTTTCTATATCCCAGTAAGCAAACAAAAATTCCCAGTTTCCCACTTGGGGTTGGACCCCTAATAAACAAAAGTGCAAAGTGTTTTTTATAAAAGATAAACACAACGTGAAAAAGGGCACGTAACACCACTATAAAGATAAAATACATGAGTAAAATGCAAGATACAAAATACAAATGAAAAAGAAATGGAAAGCACAAGTAGGTAAAACAGATTAACTAGAAACATAAGACTACAATAAATAGCAACTTTAAATGACTAATATAAACACCGTAAGATAAAACGGCAACTCAGATAAAATCAATATGCTTTCCGATAAGTGTGGTTTTAAAAGACACTGACTCTGAGAGCCTTACTTCCTCGGGCAGTTCGTTTTAGAGCCTCGGGCCCTGAGAGAAAAGGCTCTGTCCCCTTTAGTTCTAAGCCTAGACACAAGAAGAGACGAGACCTGGAAGATGTCAAATGTCGCAGTGGTTCATAAGGAGTTAAAAGGTCTAATATATAAGCAGGAGCCGAGCCAAGGAGAGCCTTAAAAGTAATCAATTGAGCAGCTGAATTTTGTACAGTCTGTAGACGTTTGAAGGTTTTATGATTAAGACAAGAGAAAAGGCTGTTGCAATAATCAAGAAGTGAGGAAATGAAAACATGGCCAACAATTTCCGCATCTCTGACACTTAGAATAGACCTGATTTTAGCTGTTTCTGAGCTGATAAAAACAAGACTGGGAAAGTTTAGTTACGTGTTGCTCAAAACATAAATTACTCTCAAATAAAACACAGAGGTTTCTAGCAACAAGCGTAATGTGTTACGACAGGTGACCATTAGATGACAGTATTTGTTTTGCAAGGCGTTAGGGACAAATAACAAGAATTTCTGTTTTGTTGGAGTTCGGTTGAAGAAAGTTATTTGACATCCAGTCTTTTATATCTACCAGGCAGTCCTGTAGGGAGTTTAGCGTATTCAGGTCAGTGGGCTTCACAGGAGTGTACGATTGTGTATCATCAGCGTAACAGTGGAAAGAAATACCATGTCTGCTTATCACTTCACCCAGGGGGAGTGCATATATAGAGAATAAAACTGGACCAAAAACTGACCCTTGAGGCACACCATCATTAATAAGAGAGTAATGATGACGCATAAATAAAATACCAGAATTTCACTCACCAGCTAGAGCACAAGCTTCCTGAACGGTCTCTTTACAATAAACCGCTCAGCCTGCCATTATCCTTTCGGTATTTGCATGAACAAATATCCAAAAGGCTCTGAGCCGCAGAGCTCCATGTATTAGCTGAGTGAGGCTAACAGACGGCAGGCAGACTGCTAGTAGTGACAGCAGCAGCTGCCACCTGTCAATGAAAGTGGCCACGCTCCTAATTAGGTAGAACTTTAAGGCTTAGTATAATTTAAACAGGTGAGAGAATTTACCCCCCTCACAGTTGTCATTAAGTGCAAAATTAGCTATGTGCACTAAAACCATTTTTTGAACCAGGCTGTAAACATGTTTTTTTCTGCTGTAAAGTTGGGCATTTTAACATGGGTGTCAATGGGGATTGACTCCCTTCTGCAGCCAGCCTCTAGTGGCCACTCAATGAATTGCAGTTTTTTGTTACTTCCGGGTAGCCTCTGCTTGGTTGTACTGACTGTGGAATTTCAAAAAAATATATGTGGCGTTTTAGATTTTGTATTGGAATTTTGAAGTTATTCACCAATTTTATAGCATTAGTGCTTAAAATTGTGGTATGAATTTTATAAAAAATTAAAATGGGATATACCCAAAGTAACTAACTTAACCATACATTTTATCATTACTATCTTAAGATTTAACCAATAAGCCTTATTATTGTCACAATTCTCCATGTCACACCATATGATATAGTGTCACATCACATGATGAACTGCGCCACAATGCAAAAAAAGTGGATTTTAAGTACCATTCAGACAATGGCAGATTAAGAAAAACTGCACAAAAATGTGATTTTTGACAGGATTTCTGCTGGAATAAAATGTAATAATAGAAATTGCACAACCTTAATGGTCCGTGAAAAACATGGGATAACATTAGGAGTATTCAACATGAATGAATGACAGGTGGTCGTTTGAGTAGGTCCCAGGGAAATTGAGAGGGTCCCCACTTTAGTTAATGAAAACTATGACTACAAAAAATGTCAATTGACTGTCTTTTTTTTTTTCCCGTAACTAAGAGAAGACGAGCTGAAAATAGGTCTTTATATAAAAACTGAGGAAATGTGTTTTGTTTTTGTTGAGGAGAGTGGATTAAAATGTTAGTGGTGGGCTCATAGACTATATAAGAAGTGAAACGTAGTCATCGTGACATCACCCATTGGCTTGTGGACTGACATTTTGAAGCCTTGAGTTTGGCTGAAAGGCTGCCGCCATGTTGATTTTTTGCAACCAGCAGCACCGGACATGACCATATTTGGATGAGACGATGGAGCTAACAGCCGTGTGTGGAGCTAGCTAGCTTGCTTAGCTAGGTGCATCTGTAATTCCCGTTAATTTTAACAGGTCTGACAATTTTGTCTAGCAAACAACAGTCTTAAAACTAAATGTTGCGTAACCAGAGAAAGTGAACAGCCAACTCCTAATAAGCTTTTTCAACGGCGCTTGTTAAATTTACACAGTGTCGTGGGTACGAGTCACTCTAGCCTGATTGAAAGGTCGCCATTAACAAGTTGTCAATCATAGATAATCCCGCCCTGAAGCACTCTGCTTTATGGTCTATTTTCCTCTAAATGGGACCATAATTTACTAAATGAACATCATCTTGTATTGAAGAAGACATGAAACTTGTGATTGAGACCATAAACTCATTAGGAAAGTGTTTACTGAAATAAATGCTGAGAAGTAGGTCATAGAAGTAGAAAGTCATTTTCCCTTATTTCTAATGGAGCTGGACTTCTTTTTGCAACCAGAAGAGTCGCCCCCTTGCCGGCCATTCGAGAGAATGCAGGTTTAAGAGACTTCCGCGTTCACATCAGTTTGCTGACCGGAAGCTTCCCGCTTCGGTGGCTATTGAACATTCACAAATTGCATGACATTTTCCCACAGTTCTGTCCATATAAACAATGCACCCCTGTCATTGATTGATTTGTCCAGATTGATTAAATCCGACTTCCAGGCTAACGTTGGCTGGGTTAATGTGATAGCTAACATCAGTTTGCTAGTTTGAGATGTTGTGAATGAAACATGCAAGGCTTCACATTTAATGCACAATCCGGCACAAGTAAACTTTTTGTTCTGACAAGAACAATGCTTCATTAGATCATATATTTAAGTCACCATGTTTATTAACGTGTCCTTTTCCAGGCACAGATATTTCAGTGGGTGAGGAGGTCGCAATAAAGTTGGAGTGTGTGAAGACCAAACACCCCCAGCTCCACATCGAGAGCAAGATCTACAAGATGATGCAAGGAGGAGGTAAAGTAGCAGCTCACATGCTCAAATCCTCATCTCTCATTTGACTCCTGTTCTCCATCTCAGCCCTACTGTGCTAAGTTTCCATATATTTATCATTTCGTCCCTCTCTCTCGGTCCTTAAGATTTATACATTCTACTTTTAGGGATTAGGGATGCACCGAATGTTGGGCCATCGAAATTAATCGGCCAAAAATAGCAAAAAAAAGCATTTAAATTTTTTCAAATTTGGAGTGCACACGTATTCAAGCCTTTATTGTAAATCCACTGAAACGGCCCAGTGCAAGCTGACAGGCGACTTTATCCTGTCAGATTCTCTCTTGTGTTGCAGTATGAGAGTCTCTACCTGAAGAGAGGCTATGAAGTCTTCATTTTACACAAGACGAGATCCACATAGAACATTATTTATCAAATTGGGTCGCACTTTTTTAATTTCTTAAAAATTTTTAATAAATTAAACTTTTTTCGATTTAACGCAAGCATACACATGTGACAAAGTCCGGTTTTCAAAATAAGGTCTCTATACAGTATGGAAATAAGATTAATTTGATTATATTCACAGAAAATATAAAACCAGTGTTTCCCACACATAGGCTTTAATTGGGCGGGCCGATTAACAGCCCCCCAAGTAAATTTGGCGACCCATTTTATTTGTTGATTGCTGCACAGCGCATATTCGCTCCACACATCCTCTCACTCGTCGCTCGCTCGCTTTCTCTCTCTCGCTCGCAAACACGGACAACGGATCCAGTCTGTGAATTGAATGTTTGGTAGCATAAACACTGCTGCACAAATCTGTCCAACATAACGCTGCCGACGCAGTGTCGGAGAATCACTTTCAAAACAGTTATTAGCAAGCATGTGAGGAGCCAAGCTAATAAGGATCGCTATGTTAACTTTGGAAAACAGCTGACGAAGTTGGCACACTGTATAACTGGTTGTCAACAGGTACGTTCGAGATAACCGTGGCTGACTTTCGCCAACTTGATAGGGGAATAAAAACAGTGCTGTCAAGTCAGACAAAATCTACCTCTGGTAGACTGCGTGAGCTTACTTTGAGCTTAGAACAATGATCAGGCCTTGCTCCCAGGAGGTCTAGTGACGTTTTGCAGCGCAGATGTTGTGCCGAATTCTGCATGCCTGCCGTGAATTGCATACACCTCACGGGAGGTAACACTATTTTAAGCTGAGAAAAGAGGTGGATGCAAATCTTGCCTGAGGGAAGCTTATATATTGTTTTCACAGCTGCAGAGGAAATAAAAGTTCCTGTTTTGAGTATGAACACCGCCACAATGTCTTGCTACCATCCCTCATCAGTTACCAGCTTCATACTTTACTACTGCTCTCTAAATATTGGCACTGACCATTGACTGGTATCTGGAGAGGTGCCAGTTCACCTCCTGGGCACCTCTGTGTGTTGCTATGGGTCCTGTTTGTGCATGTGTGTGTCTTTCAGACCTGTGTGTAAATACTAACATAATAACAGAGTGAAAACATAGTTTCCCCTCGCGGGATTAATAAAGTATATCTTCTTCTTCATTTATACTTGTGCATCGATGTTCTGCAATTACACTGCCAAACGCTAGTCGGCGGTAGCGCTACAGCGTCCACTGTGACTTTTGCCAGCCGAGCAGACTAACTTCCGGTTTAGCCATCTGCTTACTTGAATGGGGATAAAATTATATACGTGTAGCTAGGGTTGGACGATATGGCCAAAAATGTTATCACAATAAAAAGTTTCATATGTTTTGATATCGATAATTATCACAATACGTATCAAATTGTTATTTCTTTCGAGTTTAAAGGCTGATTTGCTCCTGAGTGAGAGTTGAAGAAACCTCATGGTTAATTGTGGTTTAAACTCTTCTTTATGGTCAACACTTACGGCGAAACAGTGGATCACTTCACAACTCTGAGGTAGAACTTTCAAAACAATAAAGATAAAATCTTTATGCATTGAGTAAAATTAAGTAAAAGCTTTTTCAGTCCCTTTTCCTCAAAAAACCCCCATCTAATTTATGTATGATTTTAAGTGAATAAAGTCAAACATTTATTGAATATTTATAGAACATTTGTTATATTGTTGTTGAAAAACATTATATCACGATAATTATTATGTTTTTATTGTCCAGCCCTTCATGCGACTTTTCAAATGTTATCGACCGCAATGGATCTTGTTCTGATAGTGAAACGAGTCATTTCGCTTGGGTTGTTATCCACCGTGTTACAGCCGCTGGTTTAGCAGCTATAATTTTATGCACGGGGCGCTTCCTGTCGGCTCTGAGGCATTGCGAGGCTACCCAGCCGACCAATCATAGTTCTTACGGTATGGGTAACCTCAACATGTAGTTACATTTTTGAGGAGGTGCACATCAGGCTACGGCGTAGATTCAATGAAGAAGTATAAATCACAAAACTTGAATTAAATGAAATTATTAATAAAAAGAACCAATTTCAGTTGCAAAGACTACGCTTGGAGAACTTTGAACATGGCAGTAAATCTAGCAGATTCTTAGCCATCCAATTGAAATTGAATAAAGAAAAAAATAACAATTTCCTCCTTAAAGGGCTTAGCTGGGAATCTGACTTATAACCCAGAAGAAATTCACAATGCATTCAGAGATTATTATAGAAACTTATATACATCACAAATTGATCCATCTAGCTCTAACATCGATGCATTTCTGAACAATATAGATTTGCCAAGGTTAGATGATGAACAGATCAGGGCTTTGGATTCACCTGTTTCAATGGCTGAACTCCAGGAAGCTCTCTTACATATGCCAAATAATAAAGCCCCTGGGCCACATGGTTTTCCGGCTGAATTCTACAAGGAATTCTGGGAAATACTTGTGCCCACCTTCTATAGGATGGTTATGCAAATTAGGGGTACTTGCATGTTGCCTCCAACAATGAACTCTGCTAATATCAGCCTGCTCCTTAAACCAGACAAAGATCCCACACTCCCATCCAATTATCGCCCAATATCACTTATTAACGCAGATCTTAAAATCATCTGCAAAACCCTAGCAAGAAGGCTAGAGAAGGTATAATAAACTCTGACCAAATAGGATTTATTAAGGGCAGGCACTCCACCAACAATACACGCAGGCTACTTAATGTAATAGACTATGCCACTATTCATAACCTGGAAAGTTACAGCTACAGTTGTTTCTTTAGATGCAGAGAAAGCATTTGACAGAGTAAATTGGAAATTTCTATTTGCTACTTTATATAAATTTGGATTTGGAAACTCTTTCATAGATTAGATTAAAATCTTATACAGTTCCCCAACAGCTTCTGTCAGAACAAACGATTGTACTTCTCCATGCTTTAGTCTCCAGAGGGGTACCAGGCGGGGTTGCCCATTCTCTCCCTCGCCATTTGCTATTTTTATAGAACCGCTAGCAGCTACTATCAGACAAAATAATAATATTAAAGGAATTCAAACAGAAAATATACACCACAAGATAAGCCTTTATGCAGATGATGTGCCACACCGATACTTTTCCTCCTAAACTCACAAACTTCTCTTTCTGAGACAATGACACTTCAATCACATCCATCTCAGACTACTCCATTAACTGGAGTAAATCCATAGTTTTACCTGTGTGAGAAGTGTGATTTCCAGAGTACATCTACCACAACGCTAAAGTCTGGGAATATTAAATATCTGGGTGTCAATATTTCCTCCAGGCTGTCAGAACTGACATGGCTAAACTACACGACTTTACTTAAACCAATAGAGGATGACCTTGTACAAAGGACATCGTATCACTCATGGGAAGAGTCTCCACCATAAAAATGATGGTCCTACCTAAAATCGATTACCTGTTTTCAATGTTACCCACCAAACCCTCTGCTGTCTGGTTTGAATCACTGGACTCAAACATCTCAAAAAAATTTTGTGGAAAAATAAACCCCCACAAATCAGTTTAAAAACTCTGCAAAAAATTTTATCATTACTTCCTGTCCAATAGACTACAATATATCTCACAATGGATCAATCAGAGCCCCCTGGACCACTCATGGATGGACATAGAACAAACATTCTGTAAGGAAATTAAAATTTCCGATATGCCATTCATCAGTTCCAGCATCAAACGTAATACCTGCTTTAAAAGCATTAACATAAGCACTTCCCTGGCAGCTTGGTGGGAATTTCTCAAAATATCTGGGTCTTCACCTATCCCATGCAGATTTACTCCAATCTCGAATAATCCTGACATCCTGCAAAATAAGAAAACACTATAGTCCCCACTGTGGTATGACAAAGGGATAAGACATCTAGAGCATGTAATGCAAGGCAGTAACTTTATTCCATTCCAAGATCTAGTGGCACAATATGGAATTAGCCATAATAGAGTTCAGCAGTTTAAATCCATAATTCATGCTGGATTTAAGGATAAAATAATGGACTTAGATCTACCTCCAATGATAACAGACTTTCTTAAACTCTCGCCTCCAAAACTGTTATCAAAAGTATACATGTTGCTGTTAAAAACACAGTTCAATCTCTCTCCCATTCTTAAAGTGGGAGACAGATCTATCCATTAGTCCAGACCAAAACTTCTTTATGCAGATGTTTAAATACCTTTAGAATGACTACAAATCCCAATCTACAACCCATACAATATAAAACTCTCCATAGAACACACTGTACTGGACAAAGGATGTTCAGAATGGGTCTTGTGCAGTCAAACATCTGCCAGAACTGCTCAGGTAACATATCTGATAGTTACATGCATGCTATATGGCAATGTACACCTGTTCAAAAGTCGCATTACTTGGCTGTTGTGTGGCGTTAGTTAGATTGGTAGCGGGGTAGTGTTGGTTGGCTCACCTGTAGGTCGTGATTGGCTTGTGTGCCAGTCGGGGTTTGGGGGCAGGTCTGTGTGCTGGGGGGGGCTGGGCGCCTCTGGACCCGTCCTGGGGCTGGGCGGGGTTGTCACTGACTCTGGGGTGCTGCTGGTACTAGAGGGGCTCTTGCTATAAGCCCTGGGCTGGAGGGACCTGGCGTCCTCCTGCTTAGGGGGTGAATGATGGGGCCAGTCAGGAATCTGGTCCCAGTGGGGAGGACCATTCTAGCCTCCCTATGACCTCCTTCACCTTCCCCCCTTTGGTCATGTCTCACTACATTCACCCTTAGGACTCTAGGGGGGCGGGGAGGCTGCAGGGCATTTGGTGGATGGGGCTTCTTTATTGCAGCCTCGCCCTTCTTCCTCCCCCACTGGCCGCCCCTCAATTTTAATTACACATTAGACACAGAGGGCTTGTGGGGTGGGTGGGGCACGATGGGAGGCTCCACTACCTGACAGTTGTGGGGTGCCTGTGCCACAACTGCCCTCCAATTTTAACTGCAGCTTAGTTACCGCACACCTTACCTTTACTCCACTTCACAATCCATGACATGCATCCAACACAAAACGATACATTTATAGAGGCAGGCAGAGGGGTTGAAGGAGTGGGGGGATTCTCATTGGCCTTGTGTCCCCTGGCGTGGGGGCCCGCTCTGGACCTAGGGGTCTGGGGACTCTGGCTTCTGGCTGCTCATTTCTGGGCAGGTGGTGTGTCCCTGGGCCTGGGGACCCATTGTCTGCTCTCCTCGCCTGGGTCCTCTTCGGCAGGGGTGGGGCTCCCGCTGCTTCCCCCTGCCAGCTCTCTCACAGTGGGGGCATTTGGGAGTCTCTGGGGCACATGGCCGGTGTTGTCGGGGTGGGTTTTGGTGCTCCTCCTTGGGGGTGGTTGACTGGGGGGCTGGGTCCCCGTCCGGAGATGAGACCGGCCTCGGGTTTACGGAGCTCGGGGGCTGCTGGCTCTGCCTGGACTCTGGGGAAGGATGCCTCTGGCTGGGCTGGGGGACTGTTGGCCTGGTTCTCCTGCGTAATCGCTCCCTGGCGGCGGGGAGCTTCCCAGCACGGCTTTCTGCTGTTCCTCCTCGGGGCGGGGCGCAGCTTCCCCCGGGACATGCGGTCTGGGGTCCTTTGCGCTTTGGGGGGTGGCAGGGTGCCCTAGCTACTAGGGGTGGGGGTCTCTGAGCGCTGTGTGGGTCGATCCGGTTGCGGTTTTGAGGGCTGCAGTGGGATTATGGGGCGATAAACGATGCATCTTGATGCATTGTGTTTATTGTTTTTTTTGTTTTTTTTTCTCCTTCCCTGTGCAGGGTCTCTGGATGGTTACTGGTCGTTTAGTTTGTGCATTGGAGTCCGGGGGGAGGCATTTCCTGGTTGGCTAGGAGGGACCAGTTTGCGTCCCTGGTTTGCTTCATTGTTGGACCCCTCTGGATACTGAAGTATAAAGTTAGTTTTTCGGGATGTGCAGTGTGGGTGCGGGGCAGGGCTGTGCTCCGGTTTATTCTGGGCTTGTGCCTGGAGTTCTCGGCCCTTGACAGGTGGGTGGGTGGTTTTGGTGGTGGCATGCAGCTGAGCTAGTTGATTCTGCCTTGTTGCTGGTTTGGCTGGTGTTGCACGGCAGCCTGGGGGCGTGCTGTGCATGGGGGATGTCGGCTGGCGTGGGTGGCCTTAGTGTTTCCGGCGGTTGGGGGGACGGCGGACTTTTATTGGCAGGTGCACAGTGACCTACGCGGCGTGTTTGCTGCCGGGCTGGGACTTGCTGCTGGTGTTTCTCTCCGCTGGCTTTTGCTGTCGTGATCTGCCGCTCACTCTTTCTCATTTGCCCGGCCTCACACGCGGGAATCGCCGGGGGCTGCTGGGCATTGGGTGTCGGCGTGCTTGCTCATCACTTGTGCATTGATGTAGATGATTGCGTGGCATTTGGGCGTTGTTCGCTGTGCGGCGGTGGGGTACTGGGTGGGGGGGGGGGGCACTGGTCTATATTGTGTGCGCGCTCTTCCACGGGTTACACCTCCTTGCGTTCTGTCAGCATTGCATTGTCAACTGGCATTTGGATGGTCGTTTTTTTTGTTTTTTGGGCATCTGTTGGTTGGGTCGGGGTCTTCCGCGCTTGCATCGTGGTACATCTGGGAGTGATTATACTACTTTATTTTATTTATTTATTTTTTCTTTCCCCCACCCCTATTGGCTACTGGGGTTCTTGCCTGCCTGTTGCTGGGGTCGGTGTGGCACAGTCGTGGCGTCCCACTCGCACTAATAAATACATTCTATAACAGGCTTATGCGCACACACATGTACACACATATAGACACATTCACCCACACGCACACAGACACACACACACAGTCTCACACATAGACACAAACAAATTTAGGTTGTCCCTGGTAGAATTATTCCAGATGCTTTTCTTTCAGTTACTTATTTAAATTAATTGTTATTATTCCAGCTCTCGTTGCTGTGCTGTGTTGCCTATTTAGTGTGCGTGACTGTTTCTTGTTTTCTCTTAGTTATTGCTGCTGTTCGGGTGGTTGTCTTTTACTATTATTTTTATTGTTTGTTTGTTGTTGTTTTTTCTCCTCCCCAAGCCCCCCTCTCTGTTCTATTGCAGGTTTCGTTGCTTTCTGCAATTGGTGTTTCCCTCTCCTATTCCCTGTTATCTCCACCTTCCATCCCCCTTCTCTTGCAGGTCTTTCTCTGTGCTGTCTGTTTGTGCCCCCCCATCCCCACGTCTGCCCCCCTGTCCGGCCCGGTGACAAATCAATACCTAATTAAATAAATAATAAAACAGACAAAGGAGTATATTAATACACTCCTGTTAAAGTAAAATCTGTCTGGCACAATATGGTATCCAGCTCATCATACTCTATACCAGGCTGCTGGGCAGGACAGGTTTTAAAAAAAAAAAAAAACTATAAATCGCGGCTTCAGCTCAACTGTATTGTCTGGTGTCTTTCGTTTTCTTCTTTACAACTCAGCTACCTGAGTATCGGTAAACGACAATAACATCCAGTATCCTGGAGCACTGACAGCAAATCGTGTTTACTTTCTGTCTCCACACAAGCACGGCACATTATCAGCACGAGGACACGTAAAACATATTTTCTAAGTATTTCTTCATCGCCTCCATGTTAAAAGTAATTTCTGCCCCGCTGCTGTCATGATAACATAACGTTATACCGTGTGTCATCTAACTTTCGGCCGTTTTTATATTTTCTGTTTAACAGCCACGTCTGAGCGACAAAAACAGCTGCATTTAACATTACAGACGATCTGTGACTGTCCGCACTGTCATAATCGTTTCAGTTGTTTTGTTTGCCCCTAACTGATGCAGAAATGTATATGATTATCGTACTGCATTAATCAATAGTTAAATAAATCCATGTCAGAAACATTTAAACTTTGAAGTAAAGTAGCCTAATTAATGTCTGTTATTGTTATTATCACAACATATCAGTGACGTGGAAATTGGAATGTGCTTCATCAGGATGATTGAATAAAATATTGATTTATTGATTAGACATGTTTTTGATATTTATACTGGATAAACTGGTATGTTAATCGAGTAATAGGCAACATTTTTTTCTCTAGAATACACAAAATTTGTTGTTAGATGTCAACAGACAGCAGAAAGGCTGCGATGGAGACAGTGAATAAGGTCAAGTGAAGACTCTAAAGCTACTTTCAGGCCAATGTGACCTAAATCAGATTTTTTTTGCCCATATGTGACTCAGATCTGATCTTTTTATGACCGTGTGAACAGACCAGGTCACATGCAATCTGATCTTTTCCAGTTCGGAATTGGGCCACTTCCATATGTGGTCCAAATCCGATACAGATCGGATCTTCTTAAATGCGACCTCAGTCTGGACACTCAGGTTGCATTTGATGCGACTTTGACGTCACTGTAGAGCATCTGTTCTGCTGTAGACGGAGCCACTACGAAAAAGCTCCACAAAGTCTTTATCAAACATGTGGCCCTCTACCTCGCTATCATCTGCTCACAAATTCCCTTTCTTATACCTGAAATCCACCGGACCGGGGCTGTCTTCTGAGTTACGTGCATGCTACTTGTTTGAGCGGACACAGTAGGGGAGAGAGGGAGGTAGTTGTGGGGCAGATGCGTTGTACAGCGCCAGAAACCGTAATGAAACAAACACAAAGTTGTGAACACTTGTCATAATTTGGGAGAAATGTGACCCGTTAGAGGACAACGAAAAACGTGAGTCTCCCGCGAGCTAACCGGAGCTAACCTCTGTCGCTCCTTGCTTCCTTCGTAGCCTGAAACAGCGTGCTGCGTGTGACATTGTGTTATTCTTCTGCGAATGCGGGTCACTTTTAGGCCGCGGACAGTTCACACAGGAGTCTGATATGGGCCACATTTAAACAGTAATGTGAACTGTCAAAAAAAATCGTATCTGGGGAAAAAAATTGAGCGTTATGGCCTGCAGTCTGAACGTAGCCTAAGATTACTTGAGTTGATGACAGCTATGTTGCGATGACAGTTCGTTGCAATAAAACCTTAAAACCACATAAAAAGCCACAAGGAAGGACTGATACTGATACCTGTTGGGAATTTATTCTTTTTTTTTTAATCATTTTTAGAGAACCAACAACAAGAGTATCGATAAAGAACCAAACCAATAAGGAGTATTGTTAAGAGTAGTAGTATCAATCAAATCCAAGGGATACCCATCCCTATTTAACATTGTAATTGTGTTTACTCCCATGTTTTTGCAGTGGGTATTCCAACAATAAAGTGGTGTGGAGCAGAAGGTGACTACAATGTGATGGTTATGGAGCTGCTGGGGCCCAGCCTGGAAGATCTCTTCAACTTTTGCTCTCGCAAGTTCAGCCTAAAGACGGTCCTGCTGCTTGCAGATCAGATGGTGAGACTCCATGCTCGCTTCACACACACATTCTTTACCAACAACTGCTCACACGCATCCCACACTTTCTACTACTAACCCACAGCAACTAAAAACGAGAGCCGGAAGGGTTTCAGTGTTTGTCACAGAGACACAGTTCATATACAGTGGGGAGAAAAAGTATTTGATACACTCCTGATTTTGCAGGTTTTCCTACAGGTCTGTAAATTACAGACCTTTATATAGATACACTACAGTTTAAGTGTACCTATGATAAATAGGTACACTTAAACTGTGAGAGACACAGCCCTTACTGTGTGTTTCGGGTCGTTGTCATGCTGGAAGACCCAGCCACGACCCATCTTCAATGCTCTTACTGAAGGAAGCAGGTTGTTGGCCAAGATCACGTGATACATGGCCCCATCCATCCTTCCCTCAATATGGTGCAGTCATCCTGTCCCCTTTGCAGTAAAGTTGTCCCTAAAGAATGATGTTTCCACCTCCATGCTTCACGGTTGGGATGGTGTTCTTGGGGTTGTACTCACCCTTCTTCTTCCTCCAAACACGGCGAGTGGAGTTTAGACCATAAAGCTCTATTTTTGTCTCATCAGACCACATGACCTTCTCCCATTCCTCCTCTGGATCATCCAGATGGTCATTGGCAAACTTCAGACGGGCCTGGACATGCACTGGCTTGAGCAGGGGGACTCCAGGATTTTAATCCATGACGGCGTAGTGTGTTACTAATGGTTTTCTTTGAGACTGTGGTCCCAGCTCTCTTCAGGTCATTGACCAGGTCCTGCCGTTGTAGGTCTGGGCTGATCCCTCACCTTCCTCATGATCATTGATGCACCATGAGGTGAGATCTTGCATGGAGCCCCAGACCGAGGGAGATTGACCGTCATCTTGAACTTCTTCCATTTTCTAATAATTGCGCCAACAATTGTTGCCTTCTCACCAAGCTGCTTGCCTATTGTCCTGTAGCCCATCCCAGCCTTGTGCAGGTCTACAATTTTATCCCTGATCGTTACACAGCTCTCTGGTCTTGGCCATTGTGGAGAAGTTGGAGTCTGTTTGACTGAGTGTGTGGACAGGTGTCTTTTATACAGGTAATGAGTTCAAACAGGTGCAGTTAATACAGGTAATGAGTGGAGAACAGGAGGGCTTCTGAAAGAAGAACTAACAGGTCTGTGAGAGCCGGAATTCTTACTGGTTGGTAGGTGATCAAATACTTATGTCATGCAATAAAATGCAAATTAATTATTTAAAAATCATACAGTGTGATTTTCTGGATTTGTGTTTTAGATTCCATCTCTCACAGTTGAAGTGTACCTATGATAAAAATTACAGACCTCTACATGCTTTGTAAGTAGGAAAACCTGCAAAATCAGCAGTGTATCAAATACTTGTTCTCCCCACTGTAGAAAGTGTTCAGATCTTCCCTTTATTCACATTTTATGTTTCAGCCTCATGCTATAAATCTTTTATATCTTTTAAAAGTTCAGTGTGTAATATTTCTGAGGATCTATTGACAGAAATGCGATATAATATCCATAACTATGTTTTCAGTGGTGTATAAAGACCTTACATAATGAACCATTATGTTTTTATTACCTTAGAATGAGCCATTTTTATCTACATGGATATGGAGGTCGCTGTATTGTTTCTACAATAGCCAACAACGGACAAACAGCACTACAGAGCGTGTTTGGTCATCATAGCATTCTTCTTCTGCTTGTATAATTCCAGCAGTGTAGACACCATCACTACATTGAATACATACATACATAATACATAGAAGAAGAAGAGGAATAATAATAATAATATATATATATATTCTCTGAGTAGTCTTCTGGTTTATTAGAAGTAAAAAGAGAAGTGACATTTTGACAAATGAACGAGCACACACGTTATTTAGCACGAGAGCCGACAGCCTGTGGATCTTTATACCATGAAGCCAGTGGAGTCTGGACATAAACAAACAGCTGATGGCAGAAATCACGGATGCTTTAATATGGGACAGAACTTTTGAAAGTGGTGCTGAAGTTGTCTGTTTTCTGCTGGACAGGTAATTAACATCGCTAATTAATTTAGCGATGCAAATGAAAGCTGTTGTCTGATAGCTTTAGCTATAAGCTGGCTATAATCACAGAGAGACGAGCTGTTTCCCCTGTCAGTGGTGTGAAATATGTAGTTGCATTAATTTCATGTTGCCTAATTATTCTCCAGCCTGTGGGTTGGCTTTGCCGGGTACGTTAGCGAGACGTTGCCCTGGTAGAAAAATCATGTAAGGTTAGTTGGATTGGTTTATTCTCCAGCGCTGGTTTTGGCTTGTGGTGTAAAATATGTAGTTGGATTAATTTCATGTAGTGACTCTCTCTCCAGCACTCCGTTTTGGATTTGTCGGTTACATTGGTGAGACAATCAGCTGATCACTAATTGGCAATAAAATGGCAGCTTCCAGCATCGAAGCTCAGACCAGCCAGTAGCTACTAAACTTTCACATGATCAGTAAAATCAATGCGCAACTAACATTAATGATTTTCACATGCACACTGTGCAGCATGATAGCGCTTAGCTAGCGTCCTCTCATTCTTCAAAGGACATGTACTGGTCAGTAAGTGGTGGAGAGTGAGCGGAGCAGAGGAAAATATGAGCGCTAGGTTTCAGTCTGGTAGTAAATGTACAGTGTAGGTCACAGTGTGTCTGTGAATTAAAGTCTGTTGTTTTTCAACTGCTGGAAAAGTGAAGGTGGTTAACGCTAGCTAACGTCTTGTCTTCAGACTGCGATCTGGAAGCTGAGCAAGATGGTTTTTTGGCTGCTAGTTCAAGTTCGTTTGTTCTCATTCATCCACGTGTACAACGAGTACATAAATGAAGGAAATGCTGTTTCTCACTGACCTTGGTGCTCAGTACAAGATTACAGTAATCAACTTTCAAGACAAGACACAAACATGTAGATACATGAGACAAAAAAAGAAAACTGATATAATTAGGCGAAGTGAACATAGTGTGGCTAGAACATTGGAAAGTGCGTAGTTCAACCCTTATCTGAATCTATACTAATAACAGCAGCATCAGAAATTAAAATAGCAGAGCTCAGTAATGTTATGTTACTAACTTTATTTTATTAAATAATTTACATGAAGTAACATTAAATTGCTGCATTTCATTACTACCTACTTCCTTAAATTGTTACAAATACTTTGCTTTAAAAGTACTAAGTATTCACACAGTGAGAAAAATGCATCTTTCGTTTCACAATTGCATTCTAGCCCTCATAATCGTAATCAGGTACCGAGAAATTCCCTCTCCTATACAGGTGAAACTTGAAAAATTAGCATATCGTGCAAAAGTTCATTTATTACAGTAATTCAACTTAAAAGGTGAAACTAATATATTATATAGACTCATTACATGCAAAGTGATATTTCAAGCCTTTATTTGATATAATTTCGATGATTATTGCGTACAGCTTATGAAAACCCCAAATTCAAAATCTCAGATAATTAGAATATTACATGAAATCAATAAAAAAAAGGATTTTAAATACAGAAATGTCAGCCCTCTGAAAAGTATAATCATGCATATGTACTCAGTACTTGGTTTGGCCCCCTTTTGCATGAATTACAGCCTGTGGCGTTATGAGGTGTTATGGAAGACCAGGATGCTTCAATAGCGGCCTTCAGCTCTTCTGCATTGTTCGGTCTCATGTCTTTCATCTTTCTCTTGGCAATGCCCCATAGATTCTCAATGGGATTCAGGTCAGGCCAGTTTGCTGGCCAATCAAGCACAGTAATCCCATGGTCATTGAACCAGGTTTTGATACTTTTGGCAGTGTGGGCAGGTGCCAAGTCCTGCTGGAAAATGAAGTCCGCATCTCCATAAAGCTTGTTGTGCTCTAAAATGTCCTGGTAGACGGCTGCGCTGACTCTGGACTAAAGCACAGTGGACCAACACCAGCAGATGACATGGCACCCCAAACCAACACAGACTGTGGAAACTTCACACTGGACTTAAAGCATCTTGGATTGTGTGCCTCTCCTCTCTTCCTCCAGACTCTGGGACCTTGGTTTCCAAATGGGATGCAAAATTTGCTCTCATAAGAAAAGAGGACTTTGGACCTCTGACAAAGAGACCAGTTGTTTTTTTCTTTAGCCCAGGTAAGACGCTTCTGACGTTGTTTGTTGTTCAGGAGCGGCTTGACAAGAGGAATACGACATTTGAAGCCCATGTCCAGGACCCGTTTGTGTGTGGGGGCTCTTGATGCAGTAACTCCAGCCTCAGTCCACTCCTTGTGAAGCTCCCCCACACATTTGAATGGCCTTTTTCTGACAATCCTCTCCAGGCTACGGTCATCCCTGCTGCTTGTGCACCTTTTTCTTCCACACTTTTCCCTTCCACTTAACTTTCTATTAATGTGCCTTGATACAGCACTTTGAGAACATCCACGCATTGTGATGCATCGAGATATCGAATCGTTGACAGGATAATGCACACTCCTAAGTGCCTCCCTTTTCTTTTGAGGTGTTTCTCCACCTCCAGATCTGTATGGAGACCTGAAAATGGCTGTCCAGTCCCTGTCCAAATTCATGTGTGTAAAGCTGGTCGTGTCATACCTAAGAAGACTCGAGGCTGTAATCGCTGCCAAAAGTGCTTCAGCTAAGTACTGTCATTAGATGGCGGGCCAGAACATTGTCAATTGACCATTTATATTCCATCATTTACTGTGTGTGTGTGATTAGTTCAGATGGTAATGCACAGGACTCCCGTTCGGAGGGTTGTGTGTACAGTCCTCACTCGCTGCTAGTATTTTTTTCTTCCTTTTTCAAGAAATTGATTGTGAAGAGATCGTATTGCACATTTAAGCATATACAGGAGCGTACATCGCGGAGATTGGTCCACATCAACGTATGGACACTTATTTTCATTTCCCCAGTATCTCCAGGCAGAGGAAATTCCTGCTTTTCTCATTCAGGGGAATCCGCAATCTCACGTTTTTTGACGGCTTTTTCAGAGGT